ACAAAATGGGATGATCTTCGGGTTGAAGCCGAACAAGAGGACATGCAAAGAAACTGGTGGCTACGAGAGCTAATCAACAAATGTTTTGAAGACATTATAAGGCTCGAGGACGATGAACGCAAGGAAGGGGAGAATTACAAAGAATCCCAGAAGACTCTTGAATCGGTTGTAAGACAAACAGCAGGAAGACTTCCCAAGACAGAGAAACCCTGGGATAATGTTCGCATCAAAGCCCCCTTCCAAGAAGAAATCAGAGAGCATATCTGGCGTAGACCAGACAGAGTCAAGCCACTGAATGAACTGAAGCTAAGAGGCCTTACTCACTTGAAAGGAAAGCAGGCTGGAGGTCATCTGCATATGCTGCTACAAAGGTCAACCGGTACACAGAGAGAACTGATGGAACAAGATCTGAAGTCGAATATTCTCCCGATTCATCAAATTCTGCAAGTGAAGGCTGAAGACTACCATGGAGTAACATTCTACACTTATAGACTTCAACGCACCGATGGGAGCGAATTTACTTGTCAAGAGAACGACTTCATCATGCTGAAACCGGATGACATCTACCAAATGTTCATGGCCTACAGATACCTTCCAGTCAGGCAGAGCATAATATACAACGAAGGCCTCGCAGCTATCAAGAGATTCATGCTTAGACAAATCCGAGTACACTCTTCACATGACCTACAGATGGCTATTGAGTGCAATCTGAAGAAAACAAATCTGACAAAGCCAAGACTGTATGGTCAAAAACTTGAAGATTTCCCAGCCTACCACATCTTCTTCACACCGCCAGCAGTCACTGTGGATCGTTGCGCTTACCGCTACACTAAAAGCAATCGCTGATAGTGAAGCACGCTCCTCCCCCTTTATAGCACAAGTGAAGCGCCACACGGTCCGATTGCACCGGCAGGCTGGCTGTTGCTGGCACCGCATACCCGCGGCCCAACAATCTCCCCCCCAGCACCTGCCAGCCTACAACTGCGCAGCATGCTGTTGCCGGGGGTCGAACCCGTGACCTTGGCTCTGATACCACTTGTGGATCGTTGCGCTTACCGCTACACTAAAAGCAATCGCTGATAGTGAAGCACGCTCCTCCCCCTTTATAGCACAAGCGAAGCGCCACGCGGTCCGATTGCACCGGCAGGCTGGCTGTTGCTGGCACCGCATACCCGCGGCCCAACAGTCACCTATCTGAACCACAAGAACGAAAAGCGTCTGATGGTAGTCAGTGAGATTGGGAAGTACTGCGACGGAACACTGAAGATAATCAAAGAGCAGATTCTAAAGATGAAGGCAAAGCTAGAGGAAAATCTTCAAGAGACATCATCTTATGTTCAAAAGGAACACTCTATTGTAGAGACAATTTTAAAGGCCATTGACGATCGCCTCGAAAAGAGAAATGTGCTGAGGCAGTATGAACATGCACTTGGTATGAGGAAACACTACTTCAAGTCTCAGAAGCAATAAGAGAATGACACTTGATCACAAAGGGGGAGATTGTTGGAGATATTTAATTGTGAATCAAGTTGGTCATAGATTAGCTTTATAATTAATCCTTGTATTTAAATAGTGCATAAATTAGATAGAAATCAGGCCAAGTGTTAGGCCCATTTAAACAGGCTAAAAGCCTGGTACGCCTAACCTAAACCTCGCCTATAAAAAGGGAGCCGAGGTTTAGGAAAAGGTTGAACGTCGTACTTATTATTCATAGCCTTACGCATATCATTCTGTTGTACGCTTCCACGGTTTATCAAAGAAGGTTTTACGGTGATTCATTCTGTGTTCATCTTTACGTTTAATCTTCCTTGTTAGATCGATTATTCATTGTTGTTACAGAAACAGGGACTAATAGAATTATTTAATTAAACTTTTTAAGCATCTTATTCATTAAGTCTAGTTTACTCATGTCAATTTTCAACTAAAACTTCAATCGGGAAGGCATTCAAATAAATTCTTGAAGATAAGTGCGCAGTTAAAAGCGCAGTTATCTTCAAGAATTTGTTTGAATGTCTTCCCGATTGAAGTTTTAGCTGAAATTTGGTATGAGTAAACTAGACTTAATGAATAACATTCTCACAAAATTTCATCGAAACATTTTACCGGGAACCGCCCCAAATGGCGTCGGCTGGACAGAATGTTCTACATAAGACCTTATTTGACATTTTTTTGTAAGTTCGAGCCCCTATCTGACCCTTTTCTCTTTTCTAGCATGTTTAGTCTCCAAATGAGGAGCTAAACTTCCATTTCTTGGTTTTGCTCTTGAAGCTTGTTGACTATTAAAGTTGTGAGTTATTTTCTTAACTTCTCTCCTTGAATATTAATTCTTCCCTTAATCTATCTTTATATTAATGTCGGGGAGTGTTTCTAAGATGACAATTAGTTAACATCTCAATATTAATTATTACTAGAAACGATCAACAAACTGATGGTTAATCGTTGATGGTTTCACAAGTAAGTAATTTCGATTTATTAATGCACGGTCGTGATTAGTAAACTTAAGAGGGATTAGTTTTGTTGGTTAAACTGAAACCGTTGTGTTGAGGTTATGAATCTCAATTGATTTCATCAAGGAGTTAGAAAGATTAAATGCTACTATTAAATCGCTATAAGGCATTGTTCTATATTTGATTAATAGTAAGAGTTATTAATGAACGGTCGTTGTTAATAACTACCCTCGATGAATTAGACATACTCCTCGATTGAGTATTCGAGAGGGTATAAGTTATAGATATAACAAGGATCGACTAAATATATCAACAAGTGGAAAGTAGCAAAGCCAAGTCCCCTTTATCTTTGAATTAAAACTCATATAAGTCATTCATCTTAGTGTTTAATTAAATTAAATCACTCAATCCCAACCCCCCTTTTTATTTTCTAGTTCATAAAAAGAGAATTATTCCTCTCCCTGTGGATACGAACTCTACTTCACTATACTACGTATAAGTGTTAGCATTGAATTTATTTTGACGCACTATGACAAAGTGCTCGTCAACGGCCCACTCTACATTGTGTATAGTTCTAGCTCAGTGCCTATATGGTACGTCCGAGTGTACATATACTCGGCCCAATTAAGAAAGTCAGACCAATAACTGATACAAGCTAAAAGAAATTCGGTGGCATTTTTTTAATATAAGCGAAACATCACGGCTTCTGCTAAATGAGCAATATTATACTTTTAGTGGGTATCTAACCTATTTTATTGAGTATTAGGAGGCTAATAATGAGTATCACGATCTGTACTTCATATCTTCTAATTCTTTTTCTTTTTTTATTTTATTTTTTCTTGTATAAAAACTTATTAAATTATATCTATAATCCACTCATATTAATTTCAATATGTGAGTCTAATGTAATATGATACTTTTGAAATATGCATTGTTATGACATTATAAAAATGAGCATAACATCAGTAGGAAATGAGCATATTTAACTTACAAAGTGCACATTGATATGAAAAGCGTAAGGTTTGTTAGTTGAACATCACTACATTTTAATTGAGCATCAAACTTCTGTTATTGAGATGAAAATCACGATTTCTGGTGAATGAGCACTAATAAACTTTTAATGAGCATCAGACATATTATGTTGAGTATTAGGAGTCTAATTTCAATACGTGAATCTAATGTAAAGTAGCACTTAAAAAATGCATTGATATGACACTTGGAAAATGAGCGTAAGATCAGTACCAGATGAGCATACATAACTTACAAAATGTTCATTGATGTGAAAATCGTAAGGTTTGTTAGTTTGACATAATGACATTTTCATTGAGCATCAAACCTCCTCTATTGAGATGAAAATCACAGTTTCTGTTAAATGAGCATCAATGAACTTTTAATGTGCATCAGACTATTATGAGCATTAAAACACTTTCAATGAGCATCAGACTTATTCGGTTGAGTACTAGGAACCTAACAATGTGAATCTAACGTCATATGCAGCTTTTAAAAATTTGCATGAATATGACATTTTAAAAATGAGCATAATATTAGTACAAACTATACAAACGTAATTTACAAAATGAGTATTGATATGAAAATCATAAATTTTTTTGTTGAACTTCAAGCCATTTTTATTGAGCAATCAAACATTCTCTATTGAGTATTGAAAACATGCAATTGAATATCATGTTTTGTGCTCCTATATCTATAATCAATTCCAACATGAATCCAAAAAATAAACTGAAACATTTAATAATATTTTATATTTATTTTCATAATAATTGAATATATAACATTAAAGTAGAAGGTTGCTAAAAAACAAAAAAAAAGAAAGGAGAACAAACTAATGAAAACAAAAAAGAGAATAATAAACAAAAGAAAAGGAGCACCGGCGTGAGTGGATGAGCTTCAAACTTACTCAATCTGTTTGTGCTCCCATGCTATGTGAGCACCGACATAATTGAATTAAGGATAAGCTATTTGAGCACCGGCGTAATTGAAGCAAGGATGAGCGTGAGTGGAGGAAGCAGCTCAGCCTATTAATTTTACTTAAACTTGCTAATAATTACAAAAAAACGCCCGGGTGTGGGATATAAATTGTCGTTCTAGCCGAGCATACGGGTCTTAAATTCTTCAATTATCCACATACTCCGTATTTAAACAGCAGCAGAGTATGTAATGAAGATTGAAGACCGTGCTTAGCATTTTTGATAATTTTATAGTACTATCTCCGTCCCATTGAAAGTTTCACATTGTAAAATGGCACGATTATTTAGAGAATAATTAAATAATATAGTTTCGGTATATTTTGAGAAATAATTTTAATAAGTACGGAATATATAATATAGTGGTGTTAGTGTTGATAAATGTGACGTTATAAATATATTGTTTTTAATATTTAATGATTAATTTGTCATATAATATGGTTAATTGTTTCTTAAAATGAGAACATTTATATGGGACGTTCAAAAAAGGAAAGTGAGAACCTTCTATGAGACGGAGAGAGTACTTCTCAACTATACTTGAGATCAAACTTCTTTTATTTTGTCGGTTATTTGTTTGAGTTAATGCCTCAAATAGGACTAATAGCAAAGTTAATTGCCCATTTAGGACTATAAACGAACCATATGTTTCATAGGACCATTTTCAGAGTAGTAGACTAAAATACCCCTCTTCTAATATTTTAAATTTTAAAAATGTAAAATTAAAAACTATTGAAACCCTAGCAGTGACACTGCCACCGCCAGAGCCAAACCGCCCGCCGCCGGATCCTGCCTCCGCCCTCACCGGAGACGACGCCGTCTGTCGCCGCCCTCGCCGGTGAATGTGCCGCCCGTCGCCGCCCTCGCCGGTGAATGTGCCGCCCGTTGCCGCCCTCACCGCCTGCTGCCGCATCCTTGACGGCCCATCATTTCCACTCATCGCCGCCCCCTGATCGCCGCCGCTTCCCACACTGGCGACACCGTCCATGGCATAACACAAGAGTTTCAGATCTGTCAAAGAGTTGGCAGATTCATGTTGAAATATTAACACAAAAATGCCATAAATTTGACAAAAAGTGAAAAAACATGAAATAAATAACCAAATATTCAAACAACTAAATTGATCGGCGTCGCCATCCACCACCACCACCATCCTCTGAACACGACAACTCAGGCGGAATAAATTTGCCTTTATGTTGGCAGATTTAGAGTTGTGGATTAGATCTACATCTTCCATAACACGAGAGTTTCAGATCTGCCAAAAAGTTGGCAGATTCATGTTGAAATATTAACACAAAAATGCCATAAATTTGACAAAAAATGAAAAAACATGAAATAAATAACCAAATATTCAAACAACTAAATTTTTTAGTGGAATAATTTTCTTAGCACAATAGCAAATTAGAAAAACGAAGCTATTGACAAAAAAACACTTTATACAAAAGCATTTCTGCCATAATATGATGTTAATGGACACATTTCTGCCATAAACTTGGCCAAATCCGAAACAATCATCCAAAATGTTGAAAATCTGAATTTGTTTTAAAACTCAGAAACTAGAAATCAAAAAATCAAAACAGAAGCCCGAAAATTGGAAAATTCAATTCAAAATCCAAAACAACAGAGGAAAATCGAAGAGGAAGAGGAAGAAGAAGAAAATTCAAAATCCAAAAAAACAGAGGAAAATCGAAGAGGAAGAGGAAGAGGAAGAAGAGGAAGAAGGAGAAGAGGAAGAAGGAGAAGAAGAACCTTAATGGCAGCGGCGAAATCGATGGCGTGAGAGGAAAGCGGTCGATCTTGTGCACAGGGCGAAGTCGACGGAGGCGGCGACGATGGCTTGGATGAAGCCGATGATGATGCGCAAGGAACCAAGAAAGAGAGAGAGGGATGTGCGCAGGAGAGAAGGGGAAGCGGTTGTGCGCAGGAGAGAAGGGGAAGCGGTTGGGGAGATGTGCGTAAAGGGATAGAGGGTAATAATAGAATGAAATATGCGAATGTTTTAAAATAGGAGTAAATCGATCCTATTTGGGGGAAAAAACATACATGGTCTTATTTGAGAATTTCTCTTCTTTTTTAGTCCTATATAGGACAATTACTTTATTTGTTTTTAAAGAAATAATGATGGACATATGACTGAATGACCGACTAAACTAAATGTACTTGATACAATGCGAATTTTTGTTCCCTAATGACTATAGTAATCATGATTATGTTTAGTTTGATATTAAAACAATTATTATAATGTAATGCTCATATAAAGTTCTTTTATTCAAATTTTTTGTTCATGTGTGGTGTCACATTGAACATTGCATAGTTTGAATTATGTGAGAGTAAGAAAGTAAAAAATGTGTGATTAAGATGTGTGTAAAAGAAGAGAGAAATAAATATAAGCACAAATTGGTTACTTCAATACAAAATGGCAAAGCTTATGAGATAACAGAATAGAAAAAATTAGAAAAGTCTCGTGACAGAGGGTATAAGAAATATTTAATTAAGCAAAAAACTTTTTCAGCAATCCAGCAATCAAAAGACTCAAAAAACTTTTAAGTATTCTTTTAGAACATACTCCTTCCGTATTTTAATGTTCACTACATTAGGTTGGACACATTATTTAAGGAGTAAAGTAGTAGGGGTAATAAATAGTGTATAAAAAGTATGAGAAAGTGTGTAAGGTATGAAAAAGAAAATTAAAAGTAGATAAACTAAGGATAACTGAGTATTTTATAAAGAGTAAACTTACAAAAATGGAAGCGTAGATAACTTTTAAATACTTAGGTAGTACTACATGCTTTAACGGGAGTATTATCGATATATTAATATCTTATAAAAGGTATAACATCTTTTTAAAAATAATCGCTGTCAATCAACATTCATATTTTAAGTGTTGAAATGATCTCCACCGGCCAACAGAATAAGAGGCATATTCAGCCAATGAATGGATATTTCTTTCCGACATTAAAGAAGTAAAAGAAGAAGTGAAGAAATTAAAGAAAGCAACTCAGTCAAAGTACAACAATATATTTGACCGACATCACCTTAAATTAAATTATAATTTTGCTAGGTGTACACAAAATGTGTACACTCATCTGTCCTCCACAGACAATTCTGTAGATTTGTATGTAGACAGACAAGTGTACACATTTTATGTACACTTTTTTGTACACCACCAATTTTTCTTAAATTTAAGATCATCATTTCTTTTTTTAGGGAAATAGACTCAAACAGGATTAAAATAAGGGATATTTACCTAAATAGGAGTAAATAAAAGGATAACTGTAACAACTGAAGTTTAAAGTTTAAATTTCCAAAATATGACTAACTCTTTCTATTCTACCCTTTCCTTTGTTCTTGATAATAGGATTTTTAAACAATCATTATAAAATATTAAAAAAATCAAAAAAAAAAATATAAAAAAAATCGTAAAAAATAATTAAAATATATATAGACCTCAACCACCACCTCAGCCACCTTCCAGCACCGCCACCTCCGGTCTCCGGAAAAGATTGCCATGTTGGGAAAAAAATGTCATCATGATGGCAATTTTGAAGAGAAAGCAAGAGAAAGCTGAATATTTTCAAAGAGTAAAAATGTCATCTTTATGGCATTTTCGGAGAAATGTGACATTTTTTACACAAGATGACATTTTTTCCAGTGACCGGAGTCGGTGGTGCTGGGAGGTAGAGGGCGCGTTGGCAGTGACATACATATTTTTTACATATTTTTTAGGTATTTTATTTTATTTTTTGGACTTTTTTTTAATTTTTTAAATAATTTATTTATTATTTATTATTTATTATTTTATTTTTTCACGTTTTCATTATTATTTTATAAATATTTTATTATTTTTTTATATTTTTTTATAAATAAAACTATGATTCTTATTAATAAAATAAACCTATTGGAAATTATATGAAGAGGGTAGAATGAGAAGAGATATATATTAGTCTTATTTTGGGAATAAAAGATTGTACTCCTAATATTGAATTTTGTGCTTATTTTACTCCTATTTAGAGCTAATACCCGTTAAAATAAAAGATGGGAAGGTAAAAAGTTTTTAAACTGGGCTAATCTTCTATTATACAAAAGCAGGAGAAATTTTGCACAGTATTCCCGCTCAAAAACATCACATCAATGGGTTCGGGTCGGGTCTTCAAGTGCTGGGCTCGGATTGTCCATGGGTTCAGAAACAGGCCAGAGTTCAGCACATTTCAGACCATTTTAATGCTGGTACAGTAACAAATCTTGAGCCACAAAAATCTGTACTTTTAAATCAGGAGAAAAGCAAATAAAATCTCCACACAACCTTGAACCACAAAAACATTAATTGAATTGTACTGTGATTAGACAGTTTTGTGGCTCTCACCCCCATTACGAAATAAGCTAATTTGAGGATTAAATAAATGGTGTAAATTGTACTTCAAAAATCTTTGAAAGTAAAAAAAAATCCCAGAGCAAGTCTTGAGCCACACAAACATTAAATGCACTATACTATCTTTACATTACAGAAAAGGATTTTGTACGCCACAAGCCCGATTTAAAGATTGTCCATGGGTTCAGAAACAGGCCAGAGTTCAGCACAATGCAGTTTTAATGCTGGTATAATAACCAATGTCTCCAGTTCGCATGCTTGCTGCTTTTATTAAGAAAATATACAATTTGTACTTTTAAATCAGTAGAAAAGCAAATAAAATCTCCACACAACCTTGAGCCACAAAAACATTAATTGAATTGTACTATGATTAGACTGTTTTTGTACGTCTCACCCCCATTTCGAAATAAGCTAATTTGAGGATTAAATAAATGGTGTAAATTGTACTTTAAAAATCTTTGAAAGTACAAAAAAAATCCCAGAGCAAGTCTTGAGCCACACAAACATTAAATGCACTGTACTATCTTTACATTACACCACAATCCCAATTTAAAGATTAACTGGGAAATTATCCCTTGGTTAATACCCCTTTGGCAGAAACTGTTCTCTCCCCGGCCACTATAAACACCCAAGTGAAGGATTTTCTAGACACACCACAAACGAGCAATTCCAGATTTAGAGTTTAAACTAAACAATGGCAGGTTCATCTACAACGGGGATGTGGTCTATGATCAAGGACATTGATCACACCAAGTCTACCTGGGCTCTGAAGGTTAGGGTTGTAAGGGCTTATGAGGTGCCTCCTCACTCAAAAGGGTTATCAACGACAAAACTCTTATTGGTGGGTAAAATCAAATTATAGACCTAACTAAATAACTTATGGAACTATGCTAACAACAGTTTCCATTCCATTGTTTCAGATATCATTGGGAAGGTTATCAATAAAAGCATTGTTCAAACCCATATCATCAATGGGAAGACAGAAAGGCTAATGGAGCTAACTGTGGCAGACCCAGAGTATTTTTTTTCATTTAGAAATGTTATGGGTACAAAAATAATTTGTTATGCTAATGGCTAAAATCTTTTTGAAATTACACAGGAAACAGATTAGGCTGTGTTCTATGGAACAAGTATATAAACCAGTATCAGGATTATGTTAATGAGAACCATGGAATTGCTGTTTTTGTGATATTTCAACTGTGTAGACCCAAAAGATATCAAGGTATTACAACATCTAATTTTGCTATGAACTAACATCAACGTATCATCAACTGTTGCTTAACAATGTTATTTACAAGCAGGCACCCTAAGTGTGGCTTCATCTTTTGATGTGTCCAAACTCATCATCAATGGAAACACAACCGAATTCTTAGAGTTCCAGAACGAGTGCGATTCATAAATTTTTTGACTTATAATTATCTAATCTCATAATAATAGTAAGTTTTAAAAAACAATAACTTACTTTGCACGATGAAACAAATAATAGATTTCCGGCGGATGGTGATGACTCCATATCTCAAACATGCAACACAAACTGCTCACAAGGTGAAGGGAGTAGGGATGTGCTTAGTGGTCATGCTGTCATAACCACTATGGAGGTTTTGATGAATGCAACTGAGGTAAATATGTGTTAGAAGGATTTTTGTAAGCAGCATTTGTAATTGGTTGTAATCATTGTGTGTCAAAAACATTTTGAATGAATAGGAGGAGATTTACTGGGTGCTTGGTGAGATAGTTTCTATCGAAAATACTCGGGAGTGGTGCTACCAAAGCTGCCCAACATGTCACAAAAAATTGGTACCGGAGGAGAAGAGGTTCAGGTGTTCTACTTGCAGCGTGACACTAGGAGAAGGAGTCTACCGGTACTATAATATCACCTTATTTGATGCCAGAGATAATGTTGTTGGGGTTAATGTATTGTTTTACAAATATGAATTTCAAATAAACTAACACATCATGGACCTGATAATGATTAAGTTACAAGGTCAGTGTGTGCATCATGGACAACACCGGACATGGAAATTTTATTCTATGGGATAGGGAATGTATTGAGATTCTGGGGAAAACTTCTGCATCCCTAATGGCTGAGGTCGAAAAGGTAACATCTATATTGTATTCACGACAATTTTATTCTATGTAGACCACTCATTCTATTTCATAATGCAACTTGGCAAAAAAAAACAGAAAACAGGTGATCCAACCCGTTTTCCAGAAGATATTGAAAGCTTGATTGACAAAAAGGGAATATTCAAAATACAGCTAAAGAAGAGAGGTGAAGAGAATGCCTATAAAGGTAGTGTTTCCCTTGGAGTTGTTAGTATGATTCGAGATCCTAATGTGCTGGCAATGTATGAAGGAAATCATGAGCAATTGGTATCAAATGAAAGCCATGAGTGTACTCCAGAGAAGGTATTTGAAAAAAATCTTTAATCTTTAATAGTTCATTTTCAGCTTAGATCTAAAGATGATGCCTAGAGTGAACCTTTCTATTTCAGATTGGTTCATGTTCAAACTTGGAAGGAAACGACAACTCGATAAGAGAGAAGTCTTCTGTTACTAAGGGCAAGGGAAAACGGATTTCAGCTGAGAAGGAGGTAAAATGCTCATAAACCTAACAGGTTTATAATGGTTTGAATTACGAAATTCTGAAAATGGAGTTTCTTTCTATTCATACTAGGTTACTGCCCCCATTGAGCTCTCAGATTCGCCTGCTGCTTCTACACAAAGAGAGGTGATTGTTGAATTGGATGACGCGATAAAAAGGAATCTCAATGATGAGTTTTCAGGCAATGAGAATGGAAAGAAGCTGAAGATTAAAATCAAGCAGGAAAAACTGTAATTGGGTTTGCAAAGAAGTGAAGATAACGTTTCGATGTTTTTGTGGAAACAACTAATGCGGTGTTGGTTTTTTTGGAAAACTGTATCAAGGGGCCGTATGTATTTTGGAAGTGAAACACTATGTGTGACAGACTTCAAATAACCTATATTATGTCTGTAGTGTGGTGTGCTAATTTGATGATGCTATGTTGTGGACGTATTATACCTTGGTCCTCTAAAGATTGTGTATTTCTTGAGCAATTGCAGGTTTTCTACAGAGAGAAGAAATTGCTAACTTTAAGGGATGTCTTTACACATAATTCATATTGGCAAGTTTTATAAAATAATTTTATAATGACACTGACACACTTATAAATGATTTGCAGGTGAAAAAAAGTTTTAGGCGTGTGGAGACTCCTAAATGAAGGCAACAAGTTTCTAACTACGGAGTATGTTTTGAAGTATTAGGAAACGTAAAATTTTGTAACTATGTTCATTCTTGAATGAGAGGTGTATTTATTTGATTTCAAAAGTGTATTCATTGGATTTCAAAGCTAAATTTGTATTGTTTATTGTAGAAGTTAATACATTTGCTATGATTGAAATTTAGAATTGGTTTTCTAATATTTCCAAATCTAAATGGAAGTGAAACTACAGACAGCCTACAAACAATGAGAGTTGAAAATAAGGCCAATAAGGAGAGGTAAAGTGACATACCTGAGCAATTGGTATGGTTGATGAAACCTGCAATCCCTAATTTTAACTAAATAATATTACAGACCTTTTTGAATGTTTACATAAATGGCAACCTTCTAAGGTTCCAGAACTATTTCTATTACATTTTTCTACATGGCAGTCATTGAAATACCTTTCAACTTGAAAATTACACCTGCAAGAATTTAGGTATAAAGAAGTCAGTATAGAGAGTCATTATATCCAATTAACTAATTCTCATAGAACTTCAACAATCTGCAGATTAATCATAAGATTTAAACAAAGTTTTAATTTTAACCAATCTGTTAAAAAACAACAACTTTGTATTTCAAAAAATCATTTGGTTATTGTATAACATCAATGTACTAAATAATTATATTTATCATTGACATAATAAGCATCTATATACGTAGTATGTCTTATATATATGATTTGGGTATAATAAAAGATGTTTGCTCAAGAAATTATATTTCAAGTGCAGTTGCTTTATACCACACTTGAAGATTTAACCAATGTACTTCACTTGAAACTTCTCAAACCAATCATTTCTTGAAATGGACTTTTATGTTGTTGCTAGAAAAGAAATGAGGTATATATATTTTGAAATCAAGGAAGGAGAATTAACAGAGTCATAATTAAGTAGAGAACACTTAATGAAGCACGTAAACATGATTTCTGTTAAAATTCGTGAAGTACATGGTTACAAAAGCAGCTGTTGAGCAGTTTTTTTGGCCTAGATATGCGGGCGCAGGCATCCAATTGATTTGAAATGCCAAGCTTTTCCAATTAATAATTATTCATAGGCCATATAAGAGTGTAAGGAATAAATGTTTTTAGATTTTGATGATGCTAGGTTAATTAGAATTTGAAAGTACCCCTTTAGATATTTTGTATTAAAATTTCTTTTGTAAGTTTTAGCTTAGTCTACATGCCAGAGATCCACCTTGCTTCTACCAGAGTTGCTCCCAGAGTTGCTCACCAGAGAAGCTATCAGAACTGGTTATCAGTGTTGATACCAGAGTTGGCAACAGAGGCGGACTTCAAAGCTTGAACCAGAGAGCCTCATCAGACTTAACCAAACACACCAGATTCCGAAAGTACTTCAACGGCCGTGAAACTAACGGGAAATTTTCTAACGGCTAGGAATCTTTTGACAGAACCTTGTACTATACGCGCATTTAATGTTCATTTAATGCGGTACATATGAAGAGATATTTAAAGCTGATGATTGATCAAGCGGGGTTCTTTTCGCCCCCAAAATAGCAAGTCGAAGGACCAACCGGTCAAATCAACAGTACAAGCATTTAATGAAGCCGTCTTCTACACTCCAACGGGAAGACCGCTCCCAGTATAAAAGATACACCTCGAAGAACCACAAAAAGAAGAGATTCTTGAGAACTTTGTTAAGAAAAGCTCGCTCAACCCATCTACTGCGAACGAAAATATTCAAAAGGCCTTCTTGAGATTCAAACGTCATTCTTAACAAGAAAAGGCTACAGTTGGAAGATATACTTTCACATCTTTCATTCAACTGAAAAAAAAAGGAAGAAACAAAGTTCCTCAGTTCTTCAAACACTTCGAAAGCCTCATCTACACATCCTTTGTGAAGAAGCAACGTTGGAGAAAACTGATTTTGAATCAAACACTTCTTGAAAAAGAAGGGACGTCTCAAACTAGCTGGAGTAAGTGAAGTGGGGATACTTCAAGAGACAGTGAAACGAGACCAGCCATCAGGAAGCAGGACTGCATCCCGGGTAGCAACTAGACTTGAAGAAGACGAGGAGTGCTTCTTAAGCTCTAGGGACTAAGGCGTTGTAAACTGTTGTTTTTGCAAGCTTAGTGGAACAGTGGACTAGAGGAACACGTTGTTCCTTGAACCACTATAAAAACCCCGGTGTCATTTACTTTAAGCTTTTAATTTCCGCACTTAAGGTTCTACTGATTAACTCTTAAGGTTGGACTCTGTGTCCAGCAGGTCTTCTTTCAAAGTTATCAGAAAGGCACTTTGCCTTAGCATTTTTCTTGAGGCTACCCGAACAGAAACTTATCCGCTGCCTGGTCTAGTTCTGCCATCAGAACCTGACCATCTCTGCCACCAGATTCAGACCCTCTCTGATAAGTCAATCTGACTTAGAGAAAAAGTTGAAAAACCGGAACATCTATTCACCCCCCCTCTAGACTGTTCCTAATTTGAACGGGACCAACAAGTGGTATCAGAGCCTCCTCGTTCTTGTAATCTTTTAGGTTACTTGTTGAACAGAGATCCACTTGTTCTAGCCTCTTTAATCTCTTATTATGGATAACACTCTCTCAAAGAATCTTATGTTTTCAGTAACTAAGTTTGATGACTGGAGGATTCGCATGAAGGCCCATCTGTGTGCACTCCATGATGAAATGTGGGAAGTCCTGGATGCAGGCCCATTCACTGAGTTCACTAAGGTCAATCCTGAATACACCATTGGTGGTGGTCTACCCCATATGATCACCAAACTACGTCATGAGTGGTCCAATGAGGAAAGGAGGAAATACAACCTTGACAACATTGCCAAGGATATCCTTTACAAAGCCATAGATGACAAGTACTTCACAAGGATCAAGAAGTGCAAATCTGCCAAGGAAATCTGGGATACTCTAACCCTGATAGGAGCTGGAGATGAGCAAGAAAAAGACAACAAACTTACCATTGCCATGAAGAAGTTTGAAGACTTCAAACTTCTACCCAAAGAGTGCATAGCTGAGATGTATGCACGCTTGCTCACCCTCACTGCTGAGATATCAGAACTTGGGAAGGAACTTACTCCCAAGGAGATCAACTTGAAGGTTCTCAGAGGTCTACCTTCACCATGGAAGATGAAGGTCACTGCCATGAGAGATAGCAAGGATCTCAGAACCTACAGCACTGAGAAACTCATCTCTGATCTCAAATCTTATGAGTTTGAAATGAATGAAGAAGAGAAAGAAGAAGTTGAGGACATAACAACTACTGCCCTCACTGCCAGCACCTCACAGGTAAACAACTTTGACCCTTCTATTCTTTTAACTGACGAATATATGGCGGCTTTTGCTAGGAAGTTCAGGAAATTCTTGAAGCCAAAGGATAGCAGAAGTCCATTCTCTAGCAGAAAGCCACACAAGAAGTCCAAACCATCAGAGAGTAGTGGAGAGCTTCTCTGCTACAATTGCAGACAACCAGGGCATTTCAAAGCCAACTGTCCACACCCTATAGTCTCCAAAAGGCAAGGCCAGGAAGGAGAAAAGAAATATGAGCACCGAAGAAGGAAGGCACTCATCACTGAGCAACCAGAGAAGGACCCCCTCTCTGAGACAGAGTCCAGCTCGGAATCAGAGTCCGATGAGGCATTCTGTTGCCTGGATACAGAGACTGAAGACCTATGCCTTATGGGTCAATCTCATGATGAGGTATCGTCTACTTCTAACTCTAGTTTTTCTTCGGTAGGCAGAGCCTTTGATTCTAATTCAATGTCAGAATTTTGGGAAGAGTTTCAAGCCAACCAAGCCACTTATTCCTCTGTTAAAGAAGAAAAAAGTAAGCTTAAGGTTGAAATTCTTGACTTAAGAAAGGAGGTTGAGATCAAAATCAATCTTCTAATTAAGGAAAGAGATCAGCTGAAAGCTGAAAATGTTTCTCTTCTCAAGAGAATAAGAGTGATAGAGCCTCTTGAGATTAAGTACAAAACCTACCAGAAGGCCCAGTCTTCAATGGAAAGGTTTGTGCTTGATCAACAAATTGCTGTTGGTTTTGGTATTGGTTATGGCTCAACAGAATCAGGTGAGCCTTCTGTAATGCCTAGCACCAGAGTTGCTAAGGCAGATAAGGTCATAGTGCCACTGATCTCTAGCCCCATTTGTCAAGCTAGTGTATCTGGTACCAAGGTTGTTCATGAGAAAGTCAGACCAGAGAAGGAAAAGATAAAGGTTCAACCCAAACAAGTTTTAAGAACTAATAAACCTGGCAGAAAAACTGACAACAGAAAAGATTTTCAAAATAACAGAAACCAAAGACAGAACTTTACCAGAGAATCTCATGACTGCTCCACCAGAAATGATCACCAGAAAGGCAAATATCAAGAGAAGGTAAACTTTAGGCAGAAAAGGTTGGCTGGTCAACTTAAGAAGCCCAAAGCTAATCGCCCCTCTGCTCTTGATAGTATATGGGACTTCTACCCAACCAAAAAGGCTATGCAGAAGTATGTAAACCGGAAGCATGATCCTCACAAGCATCTGCTCAAAGTGAATCACACTTCCGTTTACTACGACTACCAGGTGGACAATGGGTACCACCCACCTAGGTTTCACCTGATGAGACCAAAGTGGTACCGGCTGCCAAGACTGCATGACCCCCTGTAAGGAATAATTGTATTTAGATTTTGATGATGCTAGATTAATTAGGACTTTAGAGTACCCCTATTTAGACTTAATGTATTAGAATTTTCATTTGTAAAGTTCTTAGTGTAATCGAATTGGCAGAATGCCTTCAGAACAGAAGACCTTCAGAGCAGAAGGGCTCCAAGAGCAGAAGACCCTCTTAAGGCATTATTGAAACAGAGGACCTTTGGTTCTCTGCTCCAGAACAGAAGACCTCAGGGTCTCTGTTAGCCTTTACTCTGACAGAAACCCTTCTGGGTCTCTGTTGGATATATTCTCAAC